AAAAAAAACACAAAAATCTGAAAAAAAGATATGTTATGAAGAAACATAAAATAAACAACATTTGCCTGAGCATAACATCCCAATTCGTTACCAATTTGAAATAAAAATAAAATACAGAAAATAAAACTAATAATCAAAATAAGAAAAAATGAAAAGAGAATTAAAATTAGTGAGTAAGCAAGCACGTTTTGGACACCGCCATCTTTGGCGATTTTTTATATTTTTTTGGCACATCCAAATGACCTGAAAATATACAGATATGTACTTCACATAATAAAAAAACTCATTAAACAAGTTAAAAAAAATAATAAAGTTTTTAAGGCCCTGCAATAAAGTGAAAACAAAAAGTAAAAGGTGAAAAAAAAGCAAAACAGTGAGTGGGCGAGCACGTTTTGACACCGCCATCTTTGGCGATTTTTAATTTTTGTTTGGCTTAGCAAAATGACTTTAAAATTTGTAGGCATGTATCTCACATGGTAGAGAAATCACAAAAAAAAATTCAGAAAAAAAAAAACTTATTTTTAAATTTTAAGCCCCGAAATATTTTTTGGCGGGGGCCGATCGCCGTTGGGTTCGGACCCCGAATGGGGCCCCGAATGCCCGTATGTCCGGATGTCGGCCCGGGGACCTCCGTACGTAGGGGCTGGCGACCCTGATTGTATCTGAATTCGAACTTGGGTCTGATTCATACTTCGACAGTTCGTGAGTGTACCAACTGAGCTCGGCCCGTTCGGACACTGGGCCCGCTTTCCAGCAGGTGACGCTCCCCGCCAGTAGATGGAGCCTCTCCCCGGGGGCCAGGTCCCACTTACGCTGATCCTTGATTTCTGGCCGTTGATCTTCCAAATCTGCGGTCAGAAATAGATCGTTGAGGTAAGTGGGACTTGGCCCCGGGTGCTAGTGGTGTCTGCACTTATCAGTACCACTAGCACTGGAGGGGTGTCTTTAAACCACCACTACCTTTCTCAGATGTGGGGCCGCGGGCCTTAAATTATAAATCCGGCCGCCACGCGCTGTGGATGAAAAATATCGACGGCGGCGTGGCAGCTATTTTTCACGAGTAGGCTACTAGATGCCCGCGGCGGTGGTTAAAAAAAAAAAAAAAAAAAAAAAAGGAGCTAGGCTCGTTCGTTCACCCCTAATACTTTCGGACCTTGGCTGACTTGTAATTTTCGTGACACCATTTTGATGCAAGTCGCACCTCTAACACTTGAGGGAGGCAGACTGCGTTCTCTCGTCACGCCTCTTTTCTCACCTAGCCATGCTTTTTTTTCGTGTGTGTGTGTGTGTGTGTGTGTGTGCGTGTTTGGTTGGTTGTGATGATGATTGATGTTGGTGTCTTGTCCGTCATGCAGATGGTTATTTCTCCAGTGCACAGGAGTACTTGAGATGGTATCGCTCCCAAAACCGCCTCCCTCGGGATGCACCTGTTATTGGTTTACTCTTGTACCGCAAACACGTCGTCACAGAGCAGCCGTACATCTCTCGGATGATCAAGATCTTTGAGAACGAAGGCCTTCTACCCCTGCCAATCTTCATAAATGGGGTTGAGGCGCACACCGTCGCCAGAGACCTCCTCACCAGCAAACATGAAAAGGTGTGTACGATGTAGCGCTATGTAGTACATTTGTCTAAGTGATTGCTCTCTGGGTTTGTGCTATAACAGCTGACGCTTTCTTAAACCACCAGTACGTTTCCCAGCCATATTTTCAAAGTCGCAGCATGCCTGCAGCCTCAACTTTCGGGACTCGGCCTCCAGAGCAAAATGGCTGCCATACCTGGCGCCAGCCAAAAGGAGGCCCACCCCCGGGCCACAGGGTGTTTCCAGCCCCGGAGAAAAGTGCCCCAGAAGCACTGCTAGTTTAAACCACCAGTGCTTTTGAGCCTTCCCTTGCCGAGCCTCGAAACACACTACACGACAAAAAAGAAAAAAAGAAAAAAAACAAAACAAAACAGAATGGACCTTCATTTGGCTGCTGCCACCACCTATTCTGTTCAGGTAGGCCAAGCGTCGGGGAAAAAAAAAAACCAGCATGACCCTTCTTTTGGCTGCTGGCACCACCCATTTTGTTCAGGTAGGCCAACCCCCGAAACTTGCACCGAGCATGCGGCCGCTTCGGCGAAAAATGACTGAGAAACGTATTGGTGGTTAAATGATCTGTGCGCTGCCACTATGCTTGACGTTTGCGACCACAACTCTGCAAGGATGTAGTGAATACCTACTGTCCTCACCCGAAAAAAACGCCTGGTCATTATTGCTGCATCTGGACCGAAAGTTGCTCCAAATACAGCCATAATGACCGGATATTATCGTAATGTTCTATTTGGGGAATACCTAGGACTTATCATAAACAAACCTGCCGGTAGCTTCTCCGTAGGTAAATGTTCGTGAAGGCTCCATGCAGGAATGAGTCCACCGACTGCAATGCCAGAAATCTAAGATTTCTTCTTTTTCTTTTTCCTTTTTGCAAATCCAGCAGGCAAACGCCTGAGGCAAAATTGCCTGAGGGTCTTGGCGAAATTCCCAACGTGTAGGGCATTGCCATTGTTCGACAAGACCCTCAGGCAAACGTTGTTTGTATTGCATTGTTGTATAACATTTTATTTTTTTCGGATTTTTTTGATTATTTTTGAAAAAGTTCCAAAAATTTGAATACAACATACGTATGTTGTATTCGAATACAACGTACGTACGTTATATTCGAACGTACGTTCTATTCGGGGAAAAACAAGCGATTTCTGAAAACCCGATTTCCAGAGGTAATTCGAATAGAACGTACGTACGTTTTTTTCGGGTTAAGAAGGTAGTAGGTGTGATGCTGGTTGCTCCGGTCTATTAGCAGGGAGCTACTACACCTGGTGGAAACCTGGTCCAGCATCCCAGATTAAAAAAAAAAGAAAAAAAAAAAGAAAAAAAAAAAGAAAAAAGAAAAGAAAAGAAATGAACCAAGTACTCGTCAAGTTCCACCTCGCATACATCAATGAACAGTCACATGAGAGTTCATGTGTGAGAAGCCAAACCGAGATACATTCACACATGAAGATGTAGTCCCCAAAATTATTATTAATATACAAGAAATGTTTGTCTCCAGCGGCTCTGCCGCACACACACATACACACGCACACACACACACAC